AGCCGATTTAAATATGATTTCAATAAGTGCTTTACTCACTTATTGTGATAATTGATGTGATGTTACGTGTATATGTATACGATAAAAGAAATGTAATCCATATTCAAAACAATGAATCACACAAACAGGCACTAAAAGTTGTCAACCAAACTGCAGCAGCCAGCAGGAATAATATCAACATGCTAAGAAGTAGAAAAGATGTAAAAGATGTAAAATATGCATCTCGATGCGGACATGGACAAGTCTGCATTGAAACAATGACAGAACATAACTAGGAGTTTGTTTTTATTTCAGCTCAGTGGGAGTCTTTAGCTCGTTTTGTTGTCATTTATTGTCGCTTAGAGTTTCTCACCTCTCTCTCTCCTCTCTGTTGGTGTTTCACTGAGGGAGGAGCAGTTCACAGACACTCTGTGTGCACAAAGCAGAGAGACGACATTCAATCAACCGGCAGTCTGCTAGCTTGTTGCTCTCGTTACCAATATTAGCTGCTCCGTTTCAACAATGTTAGGCTAAACAAAAAACATGCATGCAGGCTAGAATTCAACTGTGGTATTGTTCTGTCGGGATACCTGTTCTTTCTTCCAACGCGTCAAGTAAGGTGGCTTGGTCAATGCTCAGCTTTTAGCTTATGTATGCAACAAACCCACTGGTGGCATTACAGACAGATCAACTGACGTAGTATAAAGTGTGAGACAGTCCACACAGGACGGGAGGGGGGCAGGTGGATGGGTCAAACAAACACAGGACTTTCATCCAGGAGACCGCTGTTTGTGTCCTGTGCCAAAAGCAATGTTGATCAGTCATTAGTGTCGTAGTCAAGTGATTGTTACCTAAACCTAACTTCCGGTAAAGAAAAAACCCCACAGCACCAGGGATCACATAGGACTCCAACCTTTACAGAATGTTTACTGATCCTGGAGGGAGTTGGGATGGTCGGGGATCAGATCCCTTTCTTCTGCTGACTGACTTTGAGTTCCAACTGCAGTAATTCATTCATTTATCATCCAGGTCATTATCATTGTTTTCTTGTACAATAGCTGAGGGCTCGAGGTGTGTGGGAGAGGATAACGAGCTGTTTGTATCATCTATCCATCCATTGTCTTCCGCTTATCCGGGATCAGGTCGCGGTGGCAGCAGGCCAGGCAGGCTGACCCAGACTTCCCACTCCCCCGCAACTCCAGCGTGTTCTGGGTCTTCCCCGGGGTCTCTACCAGGGCGTGCCCGGAAAACCTCCAGTGGGAGGCGTCCAGGAGGCATCCTAATTAGATGCCCGAACCACCTCAGCTGACTCCTTTCGACACAAAGGAGTAGCGGCTCAACTCCAAATTCCCTCCTGATGTCCGAGCTCCCTACCCAATCTCTAAGGCTGAGCCCAGCCACCTTACGGAGGAAACTCACTTCGGCCGCTTGTAGCCGCAACCTCGTTCTTTCGGTCACGACCCAGAATTCGTGACCATAGGTGAGGGTCGGAACGTAGACCGACCGGTAAATTTTCCGGTCACAACTGTTTGTATCAGTGTAGTTGTATTGTATGTTATGTCATGTAATGAAGTTGTTGTACGCATCTGCGTCCCGGACGAGTTTGACACAAACCCAATTCAAAAAATATTCTCGATGCATTACATCGAGGGTGCTAATTGCAGGATCTAATCCAGTCCACAGTGCACAATAATTGTGGTGTGGCAAATTATGGCATGAAAGCAGAGAAAATTGTGTATAGGATTATAAAGATGGTTTTTATATTTGAAAACATTATATCAACTGATTGCATCAAACACACAAAGGCAACATGTATTTGTTCATGCTTAACAAATAAACACTTTTGACCAAAATATTTTAGTATTTCTCAATTCTCAGTGACTTCAAGAACGAGTTTAAGTTATACAGAAAAATAAAAATGCTGCCTGTTACTCTACATAAATATAATTGGTAGGCTCTCTGTTACAAAGATACATCGTACACAAAATTAGCACAGGACTTTCATTCAACACACATTTATTTGAACCCAAACACGATCTTTCTTAAACAGGTTGTGCACCGCAGGGGCTTGCACAGGCACACTGTATGCTAGACATTTCGTAGGAGATCGCACAAAAATGAACAAAAACTTTTCATAAGATATTATACCAGCCGTTGCATGAGGATACAGTACATTGACTAGGCAAATGAACAATAAATGGGAGTCTGAACTTGTTACATAATAATAATAATAATAATAATAATACATTTTATTTATATAGCGCTTTAAAAGGCACTCAAAGACACTTTACATGTTAAAAACAGAAACAATAGAAGCATTTATAATAAGAACAAAATATACGACATAACTAACAACATCATTCAAATGTTTGACCTTCACTGTACAGAATGATGTATGTGCAGAGGTTGACACTAGAAGGCTGTTTTCTCTGCGCTCACTTCAAATCTCAGTCAAAGGCGTGTACCTACAAGCATAAGTTGTGACATCACAACAGGTTTGGAGCCAATCATGGTCCATGGTTACAGAAATGTGATGTGGAAATTTAAAGCCCCAGGCTCACATAAACTAAAGATGGATTTTTCAGTGAATTGTCCAGTAGTTAAAGTGTTCACATCATAGATATATGTTAGATTCAGTCAGATTTTGAATTTTAACAATGAGGGAGAATGAGTCAATGTCATTTTAGTCATTTTCATTTAATTTAACTTTAATTAAAAAAAAAACATCAGGTCTTTGAGGTGGATCTATAAGTAAGTCACTTTCCAGATGACATTTAACCAAAAATAAAAATGTAGGTGATGCAACAAGAAAATACACACAGGAATATGTAAAGGTTTCATTCCACTGTGGAAAGAAGTAGAAACCTCCTCTGAAAACATGGTCTGGGCTGCTTTCAATTGCAAAGCAAATGAATAGTTTCCAATTTCAAGATCCAATTCAACCTGTTAGAGATCAGTTGACATAAATACCCTTGTGTCCTCTACTGTCATTGGGTGTCTGTCAAAGCAAATGACACGGCGATTCAAAAGATCAGAGCCTGTGGACCACAACACCACTGTCACCACCCTGGAGTTTCTTTTTTTTCTTTACCTTTTAAAGGTAACTGTTAAATGTCTCACAGTAATGCCTGCAGGTTAACTGGATGTTGGAGTATTTGTTTTGGGACAAAAATGATGTGTGCACAGGGTATGGCACAGGGTATGGCACTGCAGAAAGAGAAAGACTACTTTGTTCTTGACACCATGCCAATGTCAAATGGAGTCCTCGTCTGGGAGGGGGAGGCAGAAGCAACTGCCAAAACCCAAACACCCACTGGAGGAAAAAGAAGAGAGGGAGGGAGAGGGAAGGAGAGGGAGACTTTCCTAACATAGCTCAAGGAGCCTTGACACCAAACCTGAACAGGATGCACCGACTTTCAATGAGCAGAAAATGAAGGAGACGTTTCCCTTTGTTCTGTCTTCCTCCTTTTCTAATGTTTCTCTCTCTGCTTGTGTCACGTATGGCCTCACATGCCCTGTTTGCTTTCCCGTCCAAATAACATGACTTGTCTCTCCTGCAGCATCTTTATATGGTAGCCAGAGGGTGAGGACGGTCCAGGAGTTTCTGCGGTAAGGACGCCTCTCTTCTTCTTGTTCTCATCTCCTGTCAGATGTACAGAACCTTCAGCCAGTCGTATAGACTGAAGCACAGTGCTAGTGCAACTGTTAGATATTCTTTGTTTGTAATGGAATTGTGTGTGGATATTTTGAAACTAGTGTTTGAAAGTAAAAATGAGCTAACTTCAGTAGTTTAAAGCTTCTGTCAGTTTAAATCAAGGTGTAAATGTTAATAATATTGAATCAAATTGGAAGACATTTCATTTTGAGGTCAGAGTTAATCAAGATTTGTGTTGCAGTTTGCAGCACAGTTCTAGTTGCATTTAAAATGTAAGTCTTTAAACATTTTAAACTGCCCTTTGAACAGGATGAATTTGAATAGACGGCGGTGTTTTAGAGGCCTGTGATACTTGTGACTTCCCCTCGATCCAACCTACTGTATATGTTTTGTGAAGATTATAAGCACGTCAATTAAATGTTGGATCAACAAATCTGCAGTAACCCTAATCTCACTTTAATGCTTTATTGGTGGTTGGAACAATCCGACAACACAGAGTTACAGGGTTTAAGTCATGTTCACCTTCCAACACAAATAAGGTTGCAAGTAGGGATGCCCCCGAAACTTGGTACTAAACGGGAACCGGTTATTAATTAGTAAATGCCCAGAGTATTGATCAGGTCCGGAGTTACGGAGTTCTTTTGACAATACTTTAGAAGTTCCAGAGTGAGATGTCCTCGTCTCAAACCTCCTCTCTCTGTCTCTTTCTCTTTGTGCTTTACTCTGACACACACACACACACACACACACACACACACAGATCGACTCCATCCAAATGCCATACGGAGTTTGACCATAAGAACAGGCTAATCAATGAAAGCTGATTAGTTCATTATTTAGCTTTTTGTATTGCTGCTTAAGGCAGACAAGAAAGACATGGCAGTGTTCTCGCAAACCACAGTGGATGGAGAATATTGGTGTATATTTGAGGCTCACCATCATGTTCAGACGGCTCTCTGTCTGCTCACTGTCTGTCTTGTGTTTATGGGCAGGTTGAGTGTTCATTATGAGCAAAGAGAGCTGTGCTTGGCTGGCTCTGATCCTTATGTTATCATGGTAGCTCAAGTAGCGTGTGCATCAAGTTTGGTTGCATGTAACCTCGGTCCTGTATCTGCTAAGAGTTTACCACCTCTATTGTTAATTACTTGTCAAAGTCATTTATACGTCATGCAGAGTTTCAAACAGCCCCTTTTTTGAGATCGTGAGAGACTTTGAGAGGCAGATGAACAGAACAACACAACACAAAAGCTATGTTTCAGTCCAGTCATTAAAAGGGTTTCTAGAATGAAATGAATCATTAAGATAAACACATATTACTTGGCATTTACATACCTGCATAGAGGCTTTACCGCTCATCTGGTAACACAAGCACCTTCATGTTGAGAAGACCTGATAAGCTTGTGCAAAATAGGCAAAGTGATTAGAAGACATTTCAATAGCTGTTCCTGTCATGTGTTATAGATAAGCGCTTCACTTTTTTTTAATCATCTTTCTGATTACATTTGTTTGAATAAATACATGTTCTGTGGTTGATTAAACACTAGAAGGTCACGAGGTTCCACTGCAGTGTGTCTTTGACTGCCAGCAGTTGAGTCAGGCTGTGATAGCAGCCTCTGGACCTGAACACATAGACACATAACTACAAGTCATCATTTACCAGGCAAATAAGCCTCACCTCCTCCTATGCACAGCCGAGTTTGCATAGAAAGCGAAGAGGAAAGTTATTGCAATGCTTGACAGCTGTTCAGAAAAAATGAATCAGCTAAGAGCAGAGGGATATAAAGGATCAAGGACAGGTAACACAGGGTTCTGATCAACAAAGACCTAGATCACAATGTGAGTACACAACAGCTGTTATTCCCTTTATATTCTGTATGTATTGAAGATCAATCTCATGTTAAATCTCACAATGTTGGAATTTGACTAATTCAGATGTCTTTGTTCTTGTACATGGAGGTTGTATTAGTTCAAATAGGCTATAATATGTAAGGTAATTGATTATCAAACAATAACCCACAACTTAGCATGTCTTTGTGATTAACTTTGTGTATCTGTTCTCATTGTCAACAAATCCCATGAAAAGACAAAGGCTGTGGTCGAATAGTCTTTTTTGCTAAGGACGTTTCCTAACGGAGTGAAATGTCCCTGAAGTATCTGAGCAGGTGAAATTCTCTGAATGCTAAAGAAAGGTGCTTCAATGCTTCCTTTCTAATCTCCTTTAGCATTTAAAGCGATGCAACATTTGTCAGTTCATGAAACAAACAAAATTCCTGTATTGCATAGATTTACAACTATTTAATATATTGATTGTCATGTTGATAAATATGAGTGGACAGAGACCCATCGTGTTTCAATTTATTTTCATTTAAATAATTATGTATTTATTTCAAACATGTAACATTTAAGTACAACTAAAACAAGAATAACAAATAAAATGAACAGAAAATATAGCAAACTGTCAATAAAGAAATTCTCATGAACAACATAAATGATCAACATGAATAAATATTGCATGTTTAGAAAGGAGTATTAATAAAAACATGCATATACCTATTCTCAATAACTCAAACAATTAACTCAATATTTATTAAATTGTAGTCTATAGTCCTTTTTAATTTCTATTTCAACCTCGGTAATGAAGTAATATTTTTCTTTTTTGATGCAGTCTTATAGCAGAAAAAGAGGACAGTTCAACAAGAAGCATTTAAATAAAGCAAGACAGGCCTATAATAAACCATTCAACAGTAAACTATATATAACTAAACGGTTGAATTCACAATTTGCAGATATTGATCATGAATGTGTTATCAGTGTTGGTGTGTGCGGACTACTGGGAGCAGTGTTGATTGTAAAGTGTGACAGCAGCAGAAGGAATGACCTGCAGTGAAAGTGCAGTGGGATTCTCTGAGCACCCTTGTTGTCTTTTCCTAAATCCTCTCTCCTTCACATCTTTTCTTGACCTCATGACGTTTTCCATCGAGGTCAAGTCCATTTGTTCCAACTGAAAACATCAATGTTTGAAAACGCCTCACAAATATATAGTTTTACTGTGACTCCAACGTTACTCAAACCGAAGTAAATTACGTATTTGTTGACTGTTTTCAGTGGAGGATTATTCCACATTTGGTGTTCTAGTAAGTATTCGTGGCAGCAGGATGGTGTATGTGGGACCAACAAAATAAACTACAATGTGTGTTTGTTCATGGTGATGAACAGTGTGGCTCATTGATGGGTTTTTACTGGAGCTCTATGGCACAGAGGAAGAAGATATATCAGCCTTTGCATATACAGTACATATGACTAGTAAGTGGCATTAATTGATTGTTGGTTTAGGTCTGCACATGGGATTTGTTAAATAAATAAATAGGATGTCATGTGTAAATGTCAGTTTACAAATTTGAATTAATGATGCAAGTAACGATAAACTGGCCCCTCCACCTTGTGCACTTCGGCCATCTGACACTGCGATAGGATTTCCTGTGTGTAGTGTGTGCCGCAGAAAATGACGAATTTCAATCTGTACCACAGCCTGTGTATACTATCAGATTCAGATTCAACTTTACTATCATTGCACAGAGTAAAAATACAACGAAATGCAGTTTTAGAGGTAACCAGGGATGGGGGCTATCACCGTGGTGCAGAGTTTAGTAAGAAGAAGCTGTTCCTGAGCCTGCAGGTCCTGGAACGGAGAGTCCTTTAGTGCCTCCCAGAGGGGAGGAGGGCAAACAGTCTATGGCCGGGGTGTGAGGTGTCCCTGACGATGCTGCGCGCCCTCCGCAGGCAGCACTTGAGGGGGACGGTCTCGATGGAAGGAAGTGGACTACCGGTGATGTAGTGCTTTGTAGTGCAGTGCTTTCCGGTCTGAGACAGAGCAGTTGCCATACCAAACTGTGATGCAGCTTGTGAGGATGCTCTCGATGGTGCAGCGGTAGAAGTTCACCAGGATCAGAGGAGACGTGGATTTTCTTCAGTCTCCTGAGGAAGAAGAGATGCTGATGTGCCTTTTTGACCAGGGTTGAGGTGTTGAGGGTCCAAGAGAGGTCCGCTGAGATGTGGACACCCAGAAACCTAAAGCTGGTGACACGCTCAACCTCCATTGATATGGATGGTTGTGTGTAAAGCCTTTATTCTTTCTGAAGTCCACAATAAGCTCCTTGGTCTTTTTGGTGTTGAGGCCCAGGTTGTTGTTGGCGCACCATGCCGCCAGGTGCCGGACCTCCTCCCTGTACGCCGACTCATCGTTGTTGATGAGGCCCACCACAGTTGTGTCGTCTGCAAACTTGATAATGGTATTGGAACCATGTACAGGCGTGCAGTCATAGGTGAACAGGGCGTAGAGGAGCAGACTCAGCACACAGCCCAGTGTTCAGGGTGAGGGTAGAGGAGGTGTGATTGCCTAGCCTAACATACTGGGGTCTGTTGGTTAGGAAATCAAGTATCCAGCTGCAGAGGAAGGTGTTGATGCCAAGGTCACCTAGTTTGGTGATCAGTTTGGAGGGGGTGATGGTGTTGAACTGAAATCGATGAACAGCATTCTCACATAGGTGTTGTTGTCCAGGTGGGAGAGGGCGGAGTGAAGTACTGTGGAGATGACGTCCTCTGTACACCTGTTCTGGCGGTAGGCGAATTGAAGGGGGTCCAGTGTGGGTGGTAGGCAGGTTTTGAGATGAGCCAGGACCAGCATCTCGAAGCACTTCATGATGATGGGGGTGAGTGCAACAGGGCGGAAGTCGTTTAGGCTCGCTGCAGTGGAGTGTTTTGGCACTGGCACGATTGAGTGTGAGGGGCTGGTGGTCTGCAGCTCATTATATGTTGCTGTACATCATGTGTGTATCACATCATGAGTATTTCGTTTAAATCCCATAATCTTTGTCACATAAGGCCAACTTCCTGTTGTTAGTAGGTGGCGCTGTGACTAGCTCTATATGGACCTGCAGATGTCTTCAGGCCTGGGCTCTTATCCAGCATGTGAAATTTGGTGCAGATTTGACAAGGTAAAGTTAAGTTACAACAGCTTTCTGTGTCATGGCGAAGCATGCAAATTGAAGAACTTGCTGTAGCAACTCTGTTACATTAAACACAAAACATTCACAACTTGGCAAGACGGAGGTCTAATTATTCTGTTGACCAAACCTGAAGTAGATGTGTTGAATCCTCCAGGAGCAGTTTTTAAAAAAGAAAACTATACCTATAAAGTGCCTAAAATGGTGTATTGTCACATGACCTGTGACATCATCATTTGATGTACCGAATAATCCTTTGCAATCTAGAGTCACATTAGTTGGAGGGTTATACCAACCAAATCTGAAACAAATCTGATAAACCCTCTTGGAGGAGTTAGAAAAAGTTTACGTAAAAAAACGCACCAAATTCAAAATGGCTCACCTCAGTTGGGCGAGGTAATGAAAGCCAATAGGAAATATGTCCAAAGTCACGAGAGCTATGTGGGTACCACATTTGGTGAATACCAGAGCAACTATGTTCCAACTAAGGCCTTCCACACATTAGGGGGCGCAATGAAGCCCGCTAAACATGTATGAACCCAAGCACTGTCTATTTTCACAATGTGTTAGAAAAGGGAAATAAATGCACAAAATCAAACATGGCTGACTTAAGAATTTTTAAATGTGTTGAAGATGAGTGCAATGATCCCACCAAATTGTATGAATATCGACAGAACTTCATCCCAGCTTTGGCCCCTGCCCAAGCCCAGTTGTGTGCCAATTTACATGGGTTTTGCCCCTCAAAAATGTGCAGGATAAAAATAGTAATCACCTCAAAAGCCATAGTTTTTTGTGGCTAACCGTGCTCAGGCCCTAACAATTTGAAAATCGTGTGTGACTGGAACCATAAACTCTTTGCTGTGTACACCAACAGGTGGAGCAGGTCAAGTCCAGCTCTCAGCAGGTGGAGCAGCTTCAGCTCAGCAACTTCAGGTCCCTCTAGACCACACAGGTTAGACACTGCCTCACACACACACACACACACACACACACACACACACAGAAACACAGACACAAATGTTTGTTCGTGCAAAGTAGAGACACATTCAGTTCTGAGTAAGGCTCCATTTGCCCTCTGTTGGCAGTGTGATGGACATACTCAACCTGTGGAATGATGACCCAGAGGAGGTTCTCTTGGACCTGGGCTTTGGCTGTGACGAACCTGACCTTTCTGGACGTATACCGGCCCGATTCATTAATCATCAGTCTCAGGCGAGAGGAATAAACCTCCAGGTGTTTCTGGAAGCCCAGAAGAACCGGCTGGACCTGGAGAACCCAGATGTCAGCAGTAAGTCTAAGTTTTCGTTGGTACACTGACCAGCAACTGATGCATGTATGTTTAATTGTATCATGGCATCTTAATACTGGCATCATGCCCTCTGTTTATCTGTTTTTGTTCTGCAAAATATTGGAACCTGGCTGCATTGAGTTTCTCCCATTCATTCACAAGAGCATTAGTGATCTCTGATCGGTGATGAGGTCTGGCTCACGGTTGGTGTTCCAGTTCACTCAAAGGTATTGGATGGTGTTGTGGTCAGAGCTCTGCTTAGGCTAGCCAAGTTCTTCCACACCAAACAGGGGAATCTATTTGTTTATGGAGCGTTTTTGAGCATGGGGGCCCTATCATGTTAATACAACAAAATATTTGTTTACACTAATTTGGATGAACAGGTTCTCTAAGCGTTAAGATTTCCCTTCATTGGAACTAATGAAAGGAATAACTTTTCCAAACCAGAAAAAAACAGACCTGGACCAAACATACACTCAAGTCTGTTGTGCCATGTGTAAGCACAAAGGTCCCAGCACACACAATGGATCCCAGATAAACTGAACTGGTTATGTATTGAGTCAAACACAACTTGCATATTTGTGGGAGTAAAACTACTTCTTTTTTCCTCGTTATTTCTTATCAAATGATGAGCAACTGACACTTTCATAGTTGGCTGTGGATATAGTCAGTTAGGGATAATGTGGCTGTAATATCCCCATTTTTTGTCCAAATTAACTCTAATGTGCAAGTCACACAAAGAAAACAGCAATTAAATGTATAACAGATTAAGTAATCTATCCATCCAGCTGTAAAATCTTATCCTATTCAGGGTTGTGGGGGGCTGGAGCTGATCCCAGCTGACATAGGCAGTGATAGGCTGTTAGGGCCAGCAAACCCTTCTCTGCTGGCCTGAACAGAATCACAAAGTTATAGCTATTTTATAATTTAATAATTTTTCACAAATACACTACATGTATTATTTTTTTTCCCATTAGCTTTTTTTATTGCACAGCTACTGTCTTCCTCAGTTGCTCTGCTTCCAGCCTGCAGCGCTGCTTCCATGCAGCTTGTTTTAAGTAGAGCTTTTATCCAATCAGATTTCACCCCTATGTCTCTGGGTAAGAAGAGAGGCCCGGTGCCCTCTAGGTAGACTTTGCAGATTAAAGTATATGGAGACAATATTGTTGATTGCCATAGTCTTCAACCAATCAGATCTTTAGTTTGACATGTTGGGCGTATTCTTTGACGTGCCAGAACTACCGAGGTAGCCTACAAGTACATCAGCATTAACGTGCAGCTCAGCATTAACGTGCGCCGTGATTGGTCAGTGGGCTAGCGTGACTGTTGTGAAGCTGAAGCTAACTAGCCGAACTTTGTAGTAGTAGTAAGAGTTCAGGTCGAAAGATATGTATGAAGTTATGACATTGACATGACATTCACACATGACATACACTATTATTATTCAAACGTATTGTTCGGTTCGTAAGCCTCGTACCGAACAGTTTAATACGAATACCTGTATTGTTACACCCCGAGAAACAAATAATAACTGTAGCTGTGGCGTCATAATGAGCTTATTAGGAGGTGGTTCAACTGTAGTAGGACAGCACTGAAGGCCCAGGTATAAAATGCACGGCCCACCACTGGACATAGGTGAAGGTGTGGTGCACCCTGGACAGGTCACCAGACTATCACAGGGCTGACACACAGAGACAGGCAGCCATTCACTCTCATATTCACACCTACGGGCAATTTAGAGTCATCAATTAACCTAAGCTTCCCTTCTTGCTGAGAGACCACAGTGCTAACCACTACAGCACCGTGCTGCCTGGAAAACAAAATGTTAAATGTGTAAATTGAAGCTAAACATTAGAGGCAGAAGATATGTCATGGATTTTCCCACACAAAGCGAAATATATATAGTCGTCATTTATATGAGAAGGGAGATGTACTAAACAGATATGGTTTTAGTTTTACAACATTCATTTATTCTCTTTTAATCAGTTTGCAGGTATTTTTTCTTTTACTGATTTTAATATCAGTGGTCTGTCTTTCCTTCAGTCTGTGTTAACTCTAATGAATGTATTGATTACATTACTGGCACTAGGAAGCATACTTCACCCATCAGAGGCTGCATAGGGTCTGCTTGATAACCCACCCTTATTTATTTAAATAATGTGATGCAGTGCTGATAGATTTTGGACATTCTGTCAGTGACATTAGATGTTGGAAGGAAATCCTGGTTTTAGAAATATTAGATGTGGTCCAGAGACTGGTGTCAGTGAGTTTTTTGTTCCAAGACTATTAACAGATCTGCTTATTGTACTTGTGTCCTTGTCTTTTGTTTTCTCCTGTCTCCTTCAGATCGTTTTAGACAGCTCGAGGTTCTCCAGCAAGTAACTACAGCGTTCTCCTCCTTGGTGAGGTCTTCCTCCCCATCACCTCTCAGAGCACCTCTGGGGAAAGCCCTGTCTCCTGAGGCCCAGGAAAGGAGGAGGCGCATGGGCATCCTGTTCAGAAGAGCATCAAAGAAGTCCCTCAGCCAAATCCACAAACATAAAACCCAGGACTTAACCACACCTGCCGCCACATATTCTCCCTGTGCTGCACCTGAGTCACTGCAACCTCCATTCAACCTTGGAGACAAAAAAGTCCCCTCAAAAAGAGTCAAACCTGGACTTCTGGAGACTGGGTGTCTGAGTCCTCTGGCAGAGGAGAAAGGAGCTGGTCCAGACCCTCAGCCCCAGCCTAACGTGGCCCCTTTTGTAGCCCATGAGGGAGCACTCAGTCACCGGCCCCGGACAGAAGGTCACCCCCTGACAGCCAACACTTTTTTACTGCAAAAGAAGAGCCTAGGGCAGGCCAGGGAATCATTTGAAATTGAAGAGGCAAGTCAAACTGCAACAGTTCTCAAAGGCAACACAAACACTATTATATCGGGGTGGTTTGTTGGTAGGACATAAGGCCCATGCACATGTGGGTATCACTCTAGTAGTAATAAAAGCAATGAAGTAATGTTTAAGTCTAGCTTTGGAATACTAAACCCTCACTGCCTGTAGAATGGAACGCATTTGTTCTTACTCCCTCAAGGAGAACAGAGGCATGTGTCTTAAATGATTTGCAATTATATATATATAACAACTTCATATTGACTCACGTTTTGCAACATATACTAGCCACACTTATTTTTTTAACAATGATAGACTTAAATGTTTTTAATTTGTTTTACCTCCATGACAATAAAGCGTCATGTAAATTATTTCAGTAAGTTGTAGGAAAGCTGTAAAAGTCATGTGCTGTTTACTTTGTTGACATGCTAATACTTTTAACTGCGGTATAAGAACATCACACTACTTCCTGCATTAGAACATGTTGTCCTCTAAAAGAATAAAACAGTACTGAACATGTTAGTTGCATATTATTGCAGTTACTAGGAGATAGGTTTGACATGATGAATTAACAACAACCCCCAAATGATGAAAGGTTTGAATGAATCAAAACATTTCTGTATCAACACAGAAGATTAGATCTTCACTAAGATAGGATTTGTTGCAGAGCATTTGCAGTTGGCTTGCATTAGATAGTAAAATACAATGATCTGGTAACTCAGGTGTGTGTTCTACTATTTTCTCTGCTTTAGTTATATTACTATTAATGTTGTCTTATTGCTTATATTATTCCAGATCCACAGTTTTGATGAAAGTTGTGTCACGAGGAGCTACACAGGAGGAGCAGAACATTTAGGTGGGTCATTAAGCATATATCATTATTATATTATAATACAGTTTTCACGTTTTCTCTCTCTCGCTCGCTTTCTATCATCGCTTTAAAGCACAAGCAAACATTTCCATCTCAAAACTGTGTGAGAATTGAATGAAACTTATACAACACATGCTTTGAAGAGTTTTTGATATGCAATCAATCAGCAAATAAATATGTAAATCATTTGCATACAGTTTCAACATCATGGAAAAATCTAGCGTGATGCAGAAATGCAAAGTCATTCGAGGCTTTGGTCATTTTCATATTGGAATCATTGCTGGTGTTACTGTATGTGATGGTTTTGTGTTTCTGGAAAAGATGTTAGGGATGTGAGTTTTACCAGTCAGACATTTTCCAGTCAGACATGTCAACCTTAATGATGTCATGATTTTTCAAAAGCAGTACTAATGTGTGCTAGAAGAAGAACTGTCTACAGTTTAATGTACATTATAAAGTAGGACATTATTGGCATTAGGAGCCATCCTAAGGCTGACAAAAGACACACTCAAATGTAGCTTTTTAAGACCTCCTGTTTCTAAAGCATTTAAAAACAAATTGGTTGTCTTGGTAAAATCCTCACATGTGTTAATGGTGCTTTTATCAGTGAACTATTTATGACAGTCACTTCTGAAAAGGTCTGTGTGACGTATGAGTGGATATCCTCTCATATGCCTCTTGGAAAGAGAGAATACAACCTCGTAACCAAAAATACTCGACTGTTGCTTTAAGACGATCACAAAATGGATGGTAAGCTATGATTATAATGCACTGTCTCTCCTTTCATTTGTTTTCCCTTTCCTACCTTGTGTGTGAGCAGCGCAGGGAGTAATACGGAGCAACAGCTGCCAGTCAGACAGCAGTGGTTTTTTAGAGGAGCCCTTCATCCCCCCTCTTTTTAAGCACGCTTCACCAGGAGCTGATCTCATCAAGGTCTTACTAATGCACACTCACAAGCTCCCGACATGCAATGCTAAATCACTGTACCATTTAAATCTCCCGTACTAACTTATGAGATGTATAATATAACAGTTTATGTAACTGCCTGTGTTCTCTGTTTGGTTATAGCCTCTGTCCGGCCTGTCAGGAGGGAGCACTGACATACAGAGCAATGAGAGGCCAGCCTGCCCCTCTCCTTCTTCCCCTCATACCCCTGCATCTCCCCTGCTCTCCTCATCTCTGACCTCTTCTTCTGTTAACAAATCTCTCCTTGTCTCACCCGGTCCTTCACCAAAGCATTCAATAGTCTTTAGCCCTTCCCCATCTCCTGTCTTGTTGTGTCTCCCAAAATCTGACCGGCACATTTCAGAGACGGAGACACCACCAGATCAGGATCAGTCTCCACCTGCTTCACTCTCTGCATTGGTGTGTGAGTACCTTCCTCCTTGCTCTTCCTCAACCGAGTTACAGAGCGTAACTCACTCTCAAGATGTCACTCTCCGTTCTCCTTTTGTCTTTACCGCTCTCTCCCCTACATCTTTCCCCATGCAACCAGAGGAGATTAAAACTGAGGACAAGGATACTCCGTCCCCTCACCTCTCTGCTCTAATCCATGACTCTGAAGGCACAGCAGGCTCTACCTATTCAAGTGTCCCTCCTCCTGCCTCATCTCTTTTTCCCTCTCCAAATTTGGATCGTCTGTTTTCTCTGTCAATTGCTACGTCTTCTACACAGTCTGACTCTTCCTCTGGGAGTCCAGGGAACTCTCAGTCAGAACAGAGTAAAGTGGCTTCGCACAGAAATTCCCTGTGTGCTTTTTTTGGCTTATCATCTCTGCTTCCCTCTTCCCCATCTGCCCCTCCTGATTTTCATTGTCCAGCCTCTTTAGCTTCCCCCCTACTAAACGAGTCCCTCTCACAGAATCCAGAAAACAATCATAAAGATTACCTTCTCCAAGTCTCAGATGGAATATGCCTCACTGATTCATCTATCAATCCACACAAGGATGGGGAAGAAACACCCTCCTCTCTCTCCTTTCACGCCTCAGCTTCATCCTCTCTCATGCTGGTGTCCTACGAGTTTGAGGAGCACTGTCCCACACTGCCCTGCCTTCCTCCGAACCCTTCCTTTCCAGTTTGTCAGTCTGCTTTGCCACCACTCTCACACAATTTAGAGAGTCTGATAGATCCAGCTGCTGGAGGAAGTTCTGACCTGTCAGAGCAGTCCATTTGCCAACATGATGATATCACAGACTCTGCTCCGACCCCTCCTGTCCAAGATATTATTCATGTTAAGATGAATCACCTCTCCTTGGACTTTAAATATGCCACTCAGAGGAATGAAAAGGGAGCAGCAGCGGGTGAGAGACATAGTGACACTGTGCAGACTCAAAAGACTGTTTATATCTCAGATACAGAGAGTTCTGCAGACCTGTCAGAAGGTTGTAGATTAGTCTCTGAGGAAATATGTAATCAAACAGAAATAGATCCGCAGCTCCTGTCCTGTAGTCTGCCTGACGAGCTTTCAACTGGAACCCAACCGGAACAGTGTCAAAGGGAAGTTAATGGCTCAGAAAATGAATCACTCAGAAGTTCTTTAGTTTCACATGATGATGTGCCGGAGGCAGACAGTGGAACTGAAGTGGAACCAAAGGTTCTAATCAAGGTTGAGAGCTTAGATCGGGTATTCCAAACCTCAGTGGATGACTCGGAAAGTGAAACTGGAGACGTGGATGTGTTTTTGCAACAGCTTGATACTGAAGGGCGAGCCTATTGGGCAGAACGTATCCAGGTTTCCAATCCAAGCCCTGTGCTTGAAGAGTCAGTTAGCATTGAAACCTCAGACGGATCTCCTGGGAATTCTCAGTTACCTAGAGGCCCAGCTGTTCTAGACTCATTGCCATCCACAGGTAGAGCTATGCTTTTATCTCCATCATCCTCAACAACAATGGACACTGACCAGATGTCAGGAAATACAACTGGCTCCTCAGATACAGATTCACCCTCCTCCTTGACCCTAGCTCCATTCCCATCCCCCTCCACAACCCCAGATATCAAGACATCAAGCCGCTCTGTTTCTGTCCAGATGTCTTCATCTCTATCTTCTCATATCGTCCAGAGGAGGGATGTTCCCTATATAACTGACTCAAAACGCACCCTTCTGCCTTGTGTTCTCCCTTTGGACACTTCCACCCCTTTCCGTGCTGTCCAGTCATGGACAGACCTGCAGATTCAACAAAACCCTCTCACCAAGACGTTAAATGGGGCTCTTCATACTGCCCCAAAGGATGTAACATTATCCACTGGTGCCACAGAAACAACACAAGGACCTACGCTGAACTCCTCTTTGTCTCCATCTTTTCCTATGCTGTCTAATGACTGGCAGTCACATCACTGTCTTCCTGAGAAGACTAAACATCAACGCACTCTGTCAGTCTCTGTGGATAAAGGGTTGTGGCTCGATGAGGAGGAAGAGGTGGATGGGAATGAGGAGGAAGAGGTGGATGGGAATGGAAATGAAGAAGAGGGTAAGCTTTGGAAGGAGGATCAGACAGCCACCATGGCATGCTGCTGCTCCTGTGACCATCAGTGTACCTGCCTCACTCAGAAGAGATACAACATTCCTGTGAGTAATACCACACTCTCTATGGTGTGTCCTTTTACTTTATGTATTCAGTCAAAAGCATTGATAGCTTCCAACTGTGTCATGTTACAGTTGTGATTCGGTTCAGTCATGGGTCTGTCAGGTTTCAGAGTCCCCTGGAAGCATTTTAGAAGTGGAGACTCATTTATAATATAGTTTAAGGTTGTTTCGCCATCATCAGTGTGAAAAATGATTGACACTTGAAACCCCCTGAAAGCCTCAACAGCAAACATTTTGGAGGTCTCTGGAAAAACCTTGCAATCACTTGCAATTGTCACTAAAAAAGCATGTTCCGCAGTGAATACTGCGGAACATAGTAAGCTGAACTATGAATACAAAACATTTATTCACAAATATGAATACAGAAACTATTGTTGTGGTGTTTCTTCTTCTATTGCCATTGGAAACCTGGTTGTTTCTGGTAAGGTGTTCTTCCATGAGTGATGCTGTTGCAAATTGTCAGCAATGCAAATGTTGTGTGGATCAGAAAACCTAACATTACCCAGTACAATCTAAAAAAACATCATGGTTACATCAATTAGAAATAGGGACTCAGTACGCTATGACTGAATTGCGATAGACCTGCTGTGCATAATGTGAAAAGTTAGTAACTGTTATTAACAAAGTTATTTGCTTGTCGGAGAGAACTAACTAAACATGAATTCAGACTTTTTACAAATCGGCATCATTATGTAGTTATTTCGGAGTCCCTTTTTGTTGATTTATTGCCATTAAATCACATCCAAATCAGTTTATTTTGTGTTCATACAGCTGTAGTAAACCAGCCGACGTGTGGCTTGCTAGACACAGTGAATACAGCTCGATAAAATCCACAGAGCTCCTCCAGACTATGTTATGAACCCAGACATGACGGCGTTTAGTTTTCCGTGATATCTGGGACTTCCACAACAGGTACTAAGCAGAAATACAAGTTATTTTTTCCATGGTTGATGGCGGACAGTTGAACGGCTTCCAGGGCGATAAGCCACGCCCCCTCTCCGGCGCGTCCAGCGCGATTCCCGCGAATGAACAAAAATAGTCCCCGGCAAGACCGGCAGCGCAAATGACGCGATTAACGCATCAAGCATCAAGCATTATGACCTGTGACAGGTCATACAGATTTAGCAACGTTACATTGCTTGATATTAAATAAAAGTCCTCAGTATTCTTCCAAAAGGTAGAAAATCCCACAGTGGCTCCTCAATGTGTTGTTCTATCCATCCACCGCGCTTCTCCATCCATAACCCAACCCCAGAAACGTTGATATTGTACAAAATGATCTGAAGGTTCACACATTTAGAGTCACTTCTAAAGTATCCCACTGTCCCGAAATCCACAATGCCTTTTTTGAAAAGTCAGTGTCCTGGTTTTTGCAGACATGCTAGTTCCCTGCTGTTGAAGCTATAGTTTGCATTGCACCCACTGAAACTTAGACATAGGCCCAGTCCCAATGTCCCCCCTAAAGCCTCAAACCCTGAACCCTCAGAGACTTACTGACGTCACTTAGTAAATGGTTGAGTGTGAGAGACTGAGGACAGCAATTTGCAACTTCCAGGCTCTTTCCTCACAAGATTAGAAGTAATTTTAGATAAGCTATTTACTCGTTTTTGTCAAAACAGCTTCAATGACAAAATATAAATGTTTAAATAAATAAATATCCTCTGATTTCATGTGTTTTTTGTTCAATCTTCATTTCTTAATGTTTCTGTGTAAATTGAATATGATAGGCTGAACACACGTGTGCCGTCCTCTTTGTTTACCTTTTTTTTTTTTACGTCTGCATGTGTCCACTGGTTACCCGTTGTCTTTCGTCACATTGCAATGAATTGTGGGTAATTCCCATGGGCAGAGTCTGCATCTACCCAGGTAGCCAAAATGACCTGGTCCAGATCCGGCATAAGCTCGGCACGCCGGAAGAAACGCGTCGGGCCGAGCCAGAACCTGTTTCAGTGCTGGCTGCCGATTAACCCGGCTGCCATGTCTCAGCCAGAATAGGCCCGCTTCTATAATGCCAGATTGGGCCCAGATTTGGCAGCCATCAACGGGCCAGAACTTGTTTCAGTGCTGGCTGCCGATAAACCGGGCTGCCATGTCTCAGCCAGTTAAGGCCCGCGTTCATAATGCCAGATTGGGCCCTGATTTGGCAGCCATCAACGGGCCAGAACTTGTTTCAGTGCTGGCTGCCGATAAACCCGGCTGCCATGTCTCAGCCAGAATAGGCCCGCGTTCATAATGCCAGATTCGGCCCAGATTTGGCAGCCATCAACGGGCCAGAACCTGTTTCAGTGCTGGCTGCCGTTTAACCCGGCTACCATGTCTCAGCCAGAATAAGCCCATGTCTCATGTCTGGGCCAGATATGGTAAAAATGAAATGGGCCAAAGCTGGCTCACATTTGGCCGCATCGAGCCGGAACTCAGCCGACACTCAGCCGCAATACGGCCGAGTCCACTGGCTACCTGGGTAATGCTGACTTACGGAAAGGGTTCATAAAGGGCTCAAAATGTCTGCGAGAGAGCCCTCAAACCCGATGATTTGACAGTGGGACAGCCCTAAACCCTCACAGACTTCAGAGCCTCAAAGTGAGTGTGGAGATTGGGATTGGGCCATAAACTCTGCTTGGTTCTTGATTTAACCCTTTCCATTCTTGCTGTTTGATAATAACATTCAATACTTTGCAATTCAATAAGTAATTTGAAATTCTTCACAGCAATCTTCTACATGGGGTTGGATTCAGTCTGGCCTTGCACTGTTTCTTTCTTTCTCACTTGTATTGTTTATTCCTGTAAAATGTCATATAATGTGTACATTTAAATTATTGCAGGCAGACACAAATGTGTGAGAAAAATACATTTTTAATTAGTGGTAAGAATGTCATTTCATCTAGGTTGAACACTGTTGAGTACACATTGTTTTAATTTAGTTTGCAAGTATTACTAATTTGATACTTTATTGTATGTAATATCGAGGACAACCAGCAGATGTCACCATTTCACACCAATATGTGTCCGTCCATTGCAGAAGAAGAACAGCAGGAGAATAGTGTGTAACTCAAAGTTGGCACATTACACTACAGTCATTTAGCAGATGCTTTTATCCAAAGCGACTTAAAATTCAGATTATATCACACTGTAGGCACAGCTACGGGAGCAATTTTGCACCTTCATTTAAACATTTGTTTCAACTATATTTAAGGTGAGATTTGAATTTAAAAGAGCACACATTGTTCAAGATTGGTATGTTTCTTAGTGAAGGCCAGAGATATACTTTGAGTCATTTGTTTGGTAGAAAACTATTGAATTTCAGGTTATTAGCATTAGCCTAACAAGCTAACCGGTTGGTTAACATGAATGTGATGTGTACAAGCATATTTCACTTTATTTCAGTAGTATTGTTTAGTTTGGAATAATACAATTTTCGGCGAAGAACAGCAAGAGAAGGGGATGTAATGCAGAGCAGGCACCCTCATTAAAAACATTAGTTTTAACTATATCCAAGGTGTCTGCTGCCCTTATTTGGTGTGCCCCGCCATCATATACTGACAGGACGGCAACAAATTAAATTGTAAATTCTGAATGACGGAACACTAATACAATGGTTTCCTGCAGTACAGAGTGGAGTTATTTTGAAACTAATAATGGTTTGTTGAGGAAAAAAATAAACAAGGTAATCTGAAAAGTCTCTGTTACATGATATTTTACCCTGAAGAAGGCCTTCTCTCATAAGTTGAGGTCTCTGTACACAAGGTTTTTAACTCCCACTTCCAGAAAAAATGTTTGTGCACGCGGGGGGAGGCTAGGGACATTGGAATCCAAGTGGGCTATGTTCAAAGCCTCTATTGTAGAAGCAGCTGCTAGAAGCTGTGGTCAGAGGATCATGGGTGCTTGTCGTGGCGGCAACGTAAGAATACGCTGGTGGACACCAACGGTGAAGGAGGGCCGTCAAGCTGAAGAGAGCAGAGGTAGCTGAGGCAGGCTAAAAGCTGTACAAGATTCGCCCTGAGATGCTGAAGGGTCTGGACACAGCTGTTTGGGTTGGCATGTATTTTCAGGCGGTCGGGACAGTGCCCGGGAAGTGGCAGACGAGGGGGGGAGGGGGTTCCCATTTAAAAAAAAGGACCAGAGAGTGTGCTCAAATTATCGAGGTACTCCAGGGTGCTGAAAAGGACGGTCTGACCGGTCGAACCTCAGATCCAGGCGTCTGACCGTCGAACCTCAGATCCAGGCGGAGCAATGCGAATTTTGTCCTGGCAGTGGAACAGTGGACCAGCTCTCTACACTTGAAGGTCTGTTGGAGGGGTAATGGAGGTTTGCCCATCCAGTCTACATGTGTTTTGTGGACTGCAGAGCCTGCTGCCCTGGATAAGCAGAAGATGGACATTGGAGTTGGGTATTTTTTAGCTTTATCAAGCTTAACAGCAGCTTCATTCAGGAACAGTCTGTTTTTAAATTGTAATCGATGGCGTTCAATGCTCACGTGGGCGATGACGGAGAAACCTGGCGGGGGGTGATTGGGAGGAATGGCTTGCCCGATCTGAACCCGAATGGTGTTTCGTTATTGGACTTCTGTGCTTGCCACGGTTTGGCCATAACGAACACTATGTTCGAACATAAGGTGGCTCATAAGTGTACCTGGTACCAGAACACCTTAGGCCGGAGATCAATGATCGACTTTGTAATCGTATCATTTGATCTGCGGCCGTATGTCTTGGACACTCGGGTGAAGAGAGGAGCAGAGCTGTCAACTGATCACCACCTGGTGGTGAGTTGGATCAGATGGCAGGGGAACC